CCTACATTCACGATTATACTGCTGCTGCTATCGCTGCTGCTCGACTCCTACTCCTACTCCCTTGTCTAGGAGCTGGAGGAGGCGGGCCGCTACCCGCTCGAGCGGCCCCTTCGGGGCCGGTCCTATCAACTGCTCGGCCTACGCGCTGCTGGAGCGCAGGTGCGTCGAAATCAGGCCGGGCGCCTTGCCCCCAGCTTCGCCATAGCTCATCTCGAACATGTGGCGACCCTTCCGAACGCCGCCGTCCGAGCCCTGCGCCTCGCCCATCCCCCTGTACTTCTTGTAGCGGATGTCTTTGCCGCCGATCTCTCGCGGCTCGTTGCTGGCGACGTACTTGTTGAGGTAGTCCGCGACGGCGCCCTTCTGAACCCTGGGTCCCTAGCTCGGCCCCTGTGTCTTCTAGGAACTCCGCGTGCTGAGCCAGCCGGTGCGCCACCGCCGTCCATGACGGCACGGGTCCGCGCGCCCGAAAATCGACTGCGTCTCCTGCCAACTGCTTCTCCTTCAGCTCCGTCTGGCCGCGGCGCGCTCCGGCCTCGATGGCCCCCGTCGGCAGGCAGTCCTCTACCTCCGCCAGCTCCCACGTCTGGTAGACCATCCCCATGATACCCGCCAGCTCGCGGGCCTCCGACAAGCACTGGCGGGCGGTGACGCGCGGCGGCATCTTCTGCGTGTTCTTGTCGCTCCGCTTGCCCATCTCTTCGTGCGCGCTTGTGAGCTCCTTCCCCCAGGGCTGGGCCCTCCGCGCCCCGCTTCGTGGGCGTCTGCATCCAGGCTGGTTTCGCAAGCAGCGCCACCCCGAGACTCCTGGATCTGGGGGCGACGGGGGCGCGGCCAAACAGGGCCTGGGAGGCGGCTGCGGAGACGATGACACGGGCAATCCAAATTCGCAGCCTCAGACTCACATTGCGGGCAGCACAGGGACGCTGGAGGCATCGGAGGTCGCAGGGCCCTTCCTCTACCGAATCCACGGTGCCCCCGACCAACTGCAGAAACCAAATGACGAGCTGCACGTGCGCGGCCCCAGAAGACTACCCGACAGCATATGCGCGCGTTGCTAGGCGTGAGTACATGGCACGAGGAGCGGAAATCGTGTCGAGAGCGCAAGTGGGCCATCAGTCCTCTACGGGCAGCGAAGACCTCCGCGCGCCCCCCCCATCTGGCAGCGAAGGAGAGCGACCGAATCGCCAGTGACTTCAGGCAGGGGGTTCTCGACGCTTTCCGACTCCAGCTCCTAATGCGATCCGAGAGGCGGGCCGATCTGAACACCGAACAGGGCGGCGCGAAAAGCAATCGAGTCGACGCGGAGAAACGAGGGCGCGACCTCCGAGTCCCGCAGGGGGCCTGGTCGCGCAGCAAACTCCCGCCTGGTAGTAACTCCCATGCCCAAAGAAGATCAGTAACCACTCATTTTGCCCACGGAGAGGCCCAAGACACAAGATGCCCATCATCCAACGGAGCACCTCGGGGATCAAATGGGGCCCGACCAAATAGAGCGGCCAGCAGTGGCGCGCGGTCATCGGGATTGGCAGCCCAAGACTTATACCACGGAAGACGACGTATATATAACTCCACGAAAGTCTCAAGGGGCCCTCCAATGTGTTAGCGCAACCTGAGTCGTGAGGGTTCGAATTCGCCCATCTGCCGTCGCCCAGCTGGCCTGCCCGCGCATGGCCACCCGAGCAAAATGCGCAGCTGTAGCGTCCAAGCGTGCACGCGGCTGCATGGTCACCAGAAAAGCCCCGAGGCCGTACGAAGCAGTATTCTGAACCAAGGATTCAAACATCGAGCGAGTGAATCTCCACTGCAAAGGTAGCTGCCAGAAGCCGCCAAGCGAGTAGAACGGCGAGCGCGCAGCCTGGCGGCGACGGGCAATCTCCTGACTAGAGGCCTGGGACATGGATACGCGGGGCCCACATGCCGAACCTCCTCCTCGAGCGATCCCGAGAGGAGGGCCCGACCAGGCCCGCGAGGCCAACGTTTGCAAACCAGGGCCCCCTCTCCTTCCAGCCAGACAGCCAAACCCCGTTTCCTCCTAGTTTGTGCGCGCCCAAAGCCCGAGGGGCAAAGGTCGAGCTCGCCATCTGCCCGGCGCAACCTTTCCAAGAAAAGGCCCATGGCATCTCCTTGGGCGATGAAAGTAAAGCGCCTGAGGTCATCCGCATATTTGAAAAGGCCAAGATCGACAGGCGTGTCATCATACTCTGCGAGGAGCAAGTGACTCAACGGGTCCAACTCCAGCAGAGACTCCGTCCACTGCCGAACTGGCCGTTGATGGGTAATCGAGATAGCCGCCACCATGAAAGGACCCCCCATCACTTCTCCCACTCTAATCTCCACCGCCGTGTCCCCGTCCATACTAGGTAGCAGAGCGATCGTGTCACGATGCCTCTTCTTACAGAGCAAAGCGTCGTCTGCGTCCACAAGTTGAGACACAGTGCAATCTAGCGCAGGCCAGGGCGTGCCCCAAAATGCATTGCTCACATCCTTTAAACTGGCCCCGAAACTCCATCCATAATCTCGGAGCATTCGCCCCGCCACCTGAGATGCCATGATACCTCCCTCTCTCCTTCTATGCCTCTGAAACCCGTGGTCCTCAGGAAAGAGACGATTAGGTAGGGGCGTGGAGAAGAAAGACTAGCCGGCCACGGGCAAGACGTGGACGGCGCGCTTCCCGCGCGGCCCAGGGGGCTCATCAAACAATCTGAAATGAAATCCTTCCAGCCGTTACGATGGCACCATTCATCTGCCTGCTGCCGTTGGCCCCCACGAACCCGCACCCCCTGAGACGCCGCGATCAAAGCACCAGCGGCGCCGTCGGAGAGGAAGTTTCGTAGCCGAAACCAACCATTGGCATTGCATGTGATGAAAGACAGGGAGGGGCTTGCTCTTGCCACGACGAGCAGCCCTGCGCGAATAATGATGCCGACTGTGACCAGGCCGTGATAGCCTCTCGCCGTTCGCAACACCAGTCGTCGTCGCAGTATGCCAGCGCCCATGTGACATGATAGCCTCTCGCCGCTAATTCCACCTGAATCTGACAAGTTCGTACTATCCAGCAAAAAGGGACTGGGTGCCAGGGGGACTCGCTGATCTGCCGACTCCTGTGCCAGCGCTGCCCTGGTCCCTGGCCACCTGCCCAGCGACGATCGAACCTGGGTCGAACCCAGGATTTGAGCGACCACCTGAATCTGACAAGATAGAATCCAGCAGAACGGGCTGGGCGCCAGGGACACTCGCTGATCTGCCGACTCCTTGCCCAGGTCCCTGGCCACCTGCCCGGCGACGATCGAACCTGGGTCAAGCCCAGGATTTGAGCGAGGTGCAGCAGGTAGTTCTGACAACGGAATATCGTCCAAGGAGCGAACCTCGTTGTTGAACAGCCGCGGCATAGTAGCGAGAAGAAGAACGCTGCTAGCCGTCCACGCCTTCGCCGCCCATTGCCGCATCCTGCGCTTCCTGCTCTGTTTCCATGGATGTTCTGGCGTCTGGGCGATTGTGTGCCGTCTGCTGCTGAACCACATACTGTAAGTGCACCAACTGGTCCTGAAGCGTCTGCAACATGACCTGCGGGTTGCCTGCCAGGAGTGCCGCTGGAGCTCCAGCCACAGTCGTCTGCAGGCGCTCCACTGCATCCTGAATCGGAGCTGCCGAACTGCTCCCCTGCGCCGTGGAAGCGAGGACCGCGGTCCTGGCGAGGTTGACCTCGAATTGAATCTTCTGCAGCTCGGTGGTGGCCTGGCCCAGGGCAGTCTGCTTCTCGGATAACTTTGATTCGAGCTCCGTGACTGCCTTTTTGAGCTCCTCCACCACTTTGCCTTTTGCCGTGTGTCTGTCGAGGGAGCGCCGCAACACGTCGTCGGGGGTGCGATGAGACTGCTCACGTTCTTCTGCCCACTGCAAATCACGTCTGGCTTGCTGAACGACTGGGGCGTCATCTCCAAGGCCCAGCTTCCGCAAGGCTCCCAAAGTTCGACGTGCTTGTGCGACTTCGACAGCAGGATTAGATGGACCTCCACTGGCGTCGCCGTCTTTTTTGTCTTTGTCATTCTCACCGCCGTCAGCTCGAGGTCTGGATGCAGCACGCTTGGATGAGGGTCGCTGTCGTGGCACGAACCCATCGTCAGGTACGCCACGACGATCGCGACCGCAATTGTGACACTGTCATTGCTCGCATGGTTGCCCTGGAAGCCGAATTGGCGTCGCCACGCATGCCCATCTCGGCTCCCGCTGGCCATTGGATCTTCTGCCAGGTCGTACTCTGCTAGAATCAGTCGCAGTACGCATAAACGGCGCTTGTGACCCGTGATGTGTGTCAAGAATGGCCCTCAGCTTCTCGATATTCAACAAACGCCTGGCAGCAGATCGGACGCGACGCCGCCGTCTATGCCAAGCTGGTGACCGTGACCGAGCTCGAAGAATACTGATTGTGTCGACTCGCGTCTGTGCGAACGCAAGCCTGGGGCGGGCACAATATCGGACTATGGCGCGGCCTCAATCCAAAACGCACCGACACGAAATGCCTCCGGAGGAGGAGGGAGGAGCAGGGAGGGGACCGGCGCCGATGTCGCTCCTGGTGGGTGTGGGCCCAGAGCGCCTGCCGTAACTTTTGGAGATGAGCCGCGGGGCCGAAGCCTCAGCACTTCTCATGCGTCCAGCAACGTCGCAGAGGAGGGAGGAAGGAGGGAGGGAGGGAGGGAGGGAGGAGGAGGGAGGGCGGAGGAGAGAGGAGGGAGGGAGGCGGAGGAGAGAGGAGGGAGGGAGGCGGGGGCAGCGAGGAGGGAGGACGGGGAGGGGGGAGGGGGGGGAGGAACGTTCCCAAAACGACCCCCCCTGCGTGACTGCACTGGTCCCCCCCTCCTCCCTCCTCCCTCCTCCCTCCTCGCTCCTCGCTCCTCCCTCCTCCCTCCTCGCTCCTCCCTCCTCCTCCTCCTCCTCCTCCTCCTCCTCCTCCTCCTCCTCCTGCTCCTGTTCCTCCTCCTCCTCCTCCTCCTCATTCTCCACCCCCAGCCTGCCCCATCTAGGGGGGGGGCGGGCCCGCGCGGCGAGCGGCGGCCGGATGTCCACGATGCGGACGCACAGGATCGTGAAGAGCTCGACGCGGTCCACCTCGCTGCTGAAGAGGCCCATGATCTCCCGCAGCTGCATGCACTTCAGGAACACCTGGTCCGCGACCTGCCCCGTTGTGATCGCCGGGGCGGAGGGGGAGAAGCGAGGAGGGAGGGGTGAAGGAGGGAGGGGCGGAGGGAGGGAGGGAGGTCAGCTGAGGAGGGCCTCAGCGCTGCTCACATTCGTTTTGGAAATTGCAGCAGTCTTGAGGATGGAGAGCGGTTCCGATTCAAATTGTAGTTCTTGCCTTAAAAGGGTGCAACACTTTGAAGGGTTCGTATGGTGTCCTGGCACGATTTAGAATTATCAGAACGCAGCAGTTACGTTGATTCGGGGTGTTGAAATCCCAGAAGTGGTGTTCTGGCACTCTTTGGGAGTGTCAGGACGCATCAGTCTGTTTGTTTTGCGGCGTTGAAGTCTCAGGAGTGGTGTTTGGCACAATTGAGGATTCTCAGACGATTGTCTTTCAATGGGGCCCATCCCACAATGAGAATCAATTCTTTCAGGGACCTGTGAAGAGGGAACTTGGAGGGAGAGATCATTGCAACATCGCTGATGCATCTTGGGTTTAGACTGGTCCCTCCTCCCTCCTGCTTCTCCTTCTCCTCCTCCTCCTCCTCCTCCTCATCCGCCTCCGCCTCCGCCTCCGCCTCCGTCTCCTCCTCCTCCTCCTCCTCCTCTTCCTCGTCCTTGTCATCCTCCTCCTCATCCTCATCCGCTTCAGCCTCCACCTTCTCCGCCTCCTCCTCCTCCTCATCCCTCCTCCTCCTCCTCCGCCTCCTCCTCCTCCTCCCCTGCTCCTCCTCTGGTTCCTCCTCCCTCCTCCGCCATCGTCGCTTCTCGGCGCTGGCACGGCTGGAGTAAAGGGGCCCAGGGACACACAAATCAATAGACACAACTCATCGGATTCCCCACATACATATAGATGTATACACAAGATTTAAGGCTCGCTGCGCTTCGCCTTCTAATCTTGATCCTTGCACCTACATGTTGTATTGACTCTGCGGTTAGCATATTGGTGTAGCCGCAGTGTTGCTACGTCCCCTTCCCAAACCTGACGTTGACGTTGGCAACAGACCTGACACGCGTTCCGTCCAAACCGAACGCCAGGTTCGGCACTCGCCCAGCACGAAGGGACGACAGCTGCAGTCGCCAGTTGTCTCGCCCCTGAGGTGGCGCTCGAAAAAGACGGATGTAGCCGAGGCTCAAACGAGAGTGCCAGTCTCACACATAAACGAGAGTGCCAGTCTCACACATGGATGCGGCCGGCGCTGGGGCGGTAGAACAAATCTTGGAAATGCATGTGGCTGGCGCCTGGACGGAACACCATTCTCCTATGAAGGCTGTGGGAACCGTGCGAGTGGAGCGGCATCACAATAGCCAGTGAGGGGCGTGGCTGGCGCTGCGAAATGAGTGCCGCGTTTCATGAAAGATGTGGCCAGCGAGCAGACGGCAGCATGACTCCCAGACAGGGGTGTGGCAAGCGCTCGGGCGAGAGCGCCAATCCCATCCAAGAATGAAGCTTGTGCGCGACCGCCAGCATCATCTGCAATGAGGGCTGTGGCCGACTCTGAGGCGACAGTATCGCTCGTATTGAAGAGTGTGGTCAGTGCTGGGGTGGCTGCGCAAATCTTGGATCAAGATGCGGCGACGGATGGGCGAGAGCACCATTGGCCGTCTTGGACCAGTCTTGGAGCCCTCTGGGCGCCCTCTTCGGCCGTTCAGGGGGCCTCCTATGGCCCTCTTGGAGCTCCCTTGGGGCCCCTGTGGGACCTACTGGGCCCCTCTTGGCCGTCTTGGGGCTCTTTGGGCCGTCTCGGAGCCCTCTTGGGCCGTCTTGGGACTCTCGTGGGGGTCTCTTGGGCCATCGGGTGCCCCATGGGGCTATCTTGGGCGCGCCCCTGGGCGTCTGTGGGGCGTGCTGCACGCCGTCTTGGAGCCAACTTGGGCGTCTGGGGGCTCTGTTCGGCCGTTGCGGGGCCGTCTTGGAAGCCTCTTGGGCCGTCTTGGGGGGATCTCGGAAGCCTCTTGGGCCGTCGCGGGATGCAGGACGTCCGGAATGACGAGGACGTCAAAACCTGCCAGAATCTTGGAAAAAGCGTTGATTGTTGCATGTCGCGGCGCTCTTGGGAGTCTTGTGGGCCCGTTTGGGGCCGTTTGGGAGCCATCCTCGGGCGCCTTGGGCCGTCGGGAAGCCATGGAAAGCGTTTCAGCCGATCGTTCGGCGCGCGGGAGGCTGGTTGGGAAAGAATGGCAGTCCGTTCGAAAGGTGCCCAGTGCTGAGGAGGACTGTCGAAAAAGGTAGGGTGGGTGGGTGGGCCACTCGGGGGGGTTTTCCATGCAGGATGCATAAGTATAGGAATGCATGTTGTGTTGTGCTGTGCTGTGCTGTGCTGTGCTGTGCTGTGCTGTGCTGTGCTGTGCTGTGCTGTGCTGTGTCGTGTCGTGTCGTGTCGTGTCGTGTCGTGTCGTGTCGTGTCGTGTCGTGCTGTGTCGTGTCGTGTCGTGTCGTGTCGTGTCGTGTCGTGTCGTGTCGTGTCGTGTCGTGTCGTGTCGTGTCGTGTCGTGTCGTGTCGTGTGTGTGTGTGTGCGAGTGCGTCTGTGTGTGTTAGCGTGTGTGTGTGTGTGGACTTTCGTCTGCCCCTCCACTTCTCATGTTTTCCGCCACGCTGCGTTCATGGAAATCGACGATGATTTGTGCATGTGTGCTTTTTTGTTCCCTCCTGGTGGAGCCCCCCCCCTCAGGCGCTCTCGGCGGCGAGAGGGCGGAGAGTGGGCGGGCGCGGCCAGCCTGTCTCAAGCTCGCCAGCATCTCGGCGCTCGCGCACCTGGCGCACTCTCCTCCCTGAAGACGAAGCCAGGACGAGGATTCAAATCGAAGCACACATCGAGAATCTCTGAGAACCGGCGGCTCGGGAGGATAACTTGGGCACCGCGGCCTTCTCAGAGCGAGAGCGCTCCAGAACGCCCTGGACGGATTCATCCTCGTCCTAGCCAGGCCCGTCCGATCTCCTCCCTCCTCCCGCTACTGCTGGGGAAGACATGGCAAGACCGAATCCGTGGCTGCATCCCAGATGGACGCATGCCCCCACCCTCGCCGCTGCTGCATCACCATCAAAGCGCTGCTCCTCCTCGCCCTCCTTCCCCCTCCCCCTCCTTCTCCACCACTCTCTGCTCCTCTTCTCCCCACCCCACACTTCATCCTCATCCTCCCCCCGCCCTCCCGAGTATTATCCTCAACCTTCTCCCCTCCTCCGCCTGCTCCGCCTGCTGCTCTTTCTCCTCCTCCTCCTTCTCCTCCTTCTCTCCCTTCTCCTCCTCCCCCTCATCCTCCTTCTCCTCCTCCTCCTCCGCCTCCTCATGCTCCTCCTCATGCTCCGAGGTGACCTGGGACCCCGTCTGGAAGCATTGGAACGGCTGGAATGCCAAGTAGACTGGCTGCCTGAAGAGTCTAAGTAGGATGGTCAGGAAAGAATGCTGATTGGCTGGCCATTAGACTGCCTGTCCTGAGAAACGCGCACACCAAATTGATTGACCAGGGCGCAATGCTGAGGAACAACGTACCAGAACAGGACAAACGTGAACATGATAAACATAATTTGAGTGCTTGGGCTGGCCACTCAGACTAGCTGGCCCGTGATGTCCTGAAACTGTCAGTTTAAAGTTGATTGATCTGCAATGCCGGCGTACAGCAGCAAGCTGGACATAAGGTGGCGACAGAGCTAGGTCTCGCACGAGCTAGTGGAGGCAGATTGTAGCAAGCTGGCAAAATATGGACACGCATGCTTGTAGTCTCTGTTGTCACCCGTCTCCACCCAATCCAGTCGCCCGCCCATCCCAACCCTGAAGCCTCTATCCGTTCTAGCACGCGAGGTGGCCACTTGAATCCGAGAGGCCACCTTGCGAGAGAAAGCGCGCAATAGTGATGAAAGTGCCCGATCTACGTCTGGCGCCTAAAGGGCCGTTGAAATATGTTGTGCGGCCACTCCCTATAGTAAAAAGCTTGAAATAAAGCTGTACGCTACTTCGGCCTGCTGCAGTCAATCGCCTGCCCCCGTCCAAATACATTACAACCCCCCCCAAACCATTCCATGACAACGAGTCCAGCGATGCAGGCTTGTAAACGATAATGAGTACTGGTGGGCAGCAGGAGATACGTGTAACAAGTCAAGCAATGTTGAAAGAATTTGCGTTGTCGGTAGTCCACAGTGGGATTCGTCCATTAGATTTGCCCCCTGCCGACGTGCCAAAATGGCCGCGAGCGTAAACTCGATCCGCACTGCGCGCTGACAGAGTAGCTGCAAACAGGGTATACACAGCGACGTAAAATCGAGGAGGGTATAGAGTCAAAGAACTGGCGACTATCATTGTGCGGAGCTGTCAGGGAGAATTCCCTGCCACCCAATAGTTCACCCCCATCATACATCCGCCCCTACAGTGCGGGCGCGGCCGCAAGAAACCCTCGCAAGAAACTCAACCCTGAGAACCTGTGCGCGAGGTGCACCTGAGGGGAAACCTGGAGCACCCTGAACGCAGCAGCTCCTTCAACGGCTGCGGGAAGTCACCGCGCGGCGCGAGGAGCGAAGAGACCCAGGATACCCTGACGAAAAGCATGTGGTTTCTTGATGCGCGCCCCCACTGTAATACATCCGCCCCTAGACCCTTAGCACTACTGCAGGACTTGTCAGGCGCAGAGCGCTGGCGGCCGCGAGTAGGCTGTGCCAGAGCTGCAGGGGTGCGGGGCGGAGGCGTCGGAGCACCGCGGCAACCAACGGGGTAGCAGCCCGTCCGCCGAAGGCCAAAATGACCAGAAGTCGTTTCCCCACCCCACCCCGCCCCCATCGTCCGACTTGACCCTCGTCCCCAGCGGGAGGGAAAGGGGGGGAAGATTAGAGAGGAAAAGTAGAAGGAGGAGGAGGAGGAGGAAGATGAGGAGGAGAACGAGGAGGAGGAGGAGAACGAGGAGGAGGAGGAGGAGGAACACGAGGAGGAGGAGGAGAAGGAGGACAACGAGAAGACGGAAGAGGAGGGGCCAACTTCGAGACGGAGGGGGTCCTGCCTCGATGCGCGCGGGAGCCTTCCCTCCTCCCCTTAAAGTCATCCGCCTCCCCGCCTCCCCGCTGCTTGTCCAGAGGGCCGCGCAGTGGCCCGTCGGCAGCTAAGAGCGCAGCCACGAGCGCGAGGGGGCAGGGATGTCAGGCCTTGCGCGTGGCCTGCCTCGGCTCGTCAGCAGGCAGCAGCGGCGGGGGGAGGGGGGGGGGGAAGGGGGAGGCAGGAGAATCTTGTGAGAGATTCGACCGCTCGTTTTGAGCACCCATATGTTTCTAATGTGCAGTGGGTTGTGCCGCGTCTGCCCGTTGAATTCTCAGTTCTTTAGCTGCAATGCAGTCGGGACGTTGACTTAAGGATCCCTAAATAAGGAACGAGGCCCCTTCTTCCCATCAGTTAACCTTCGATTTCCCATCGAAAACCTAAGGAAACCCCAAGGCAAGCTGTGAAACAAGCAGGGAACACGGAGCCCCTCCCCAACGAAAAGGGTTCCTTCTTCAGCACCCCGACTGTATTGCTGCAGAAGACGCGGAGGTGCCACGCCGAGGGAGGCAAAGGCCGAAGTCCCATGAGTCCGCGAGCGGGCACACGTGAGATCGGGCACACGTGAGATCGGCATACACCAGCCATCCTCCTCCTCCTCCTCCTCCTCCTCCTCCTCCTCCTTTGCCTCCTCCTCCTCCTCCTCCTCCTCCTCCTCCTCACGGCTCCTGGGGGGGGGAGATACCAACAGCAGTCAGAAGGAGTGGGATAAGCAAGAGAAGCAGGAGAGACGAGGCGACCGAACGGCGGACGCCAGGACGATAGCAGGAGGGGCCTTAGCAAGACGAAAGCGTAGGGAGTGGACTGGGCAAGCAGAAGAGGCCGTCCGACATCCTCGATGTGCGGTGCCCGATGTTCTGGGAGTCGTAGTGGTGGAAGTTGTTAGGTAGTTGGCTCTGCCACCCAATGTCGCAATACTGTCACCTCTTTGGTCACCACCCAAGAACAGAAGTATTGTATGGTAATTCTGCTATCCCCCAGTAGTCGCGGCCGTCCGCTTGCACGGCTGGGGACCTTGGATTCGGTGTTGATGGCTGTGCTTAGATGCTGGTAACTTGGGCTTGGGCATGGTTGGTGCAGCCATTGCCGTTGTCGTAGTTCTGCACGGCGTAGGTTGCGCAATCGTATGTTTCTTAGGTGTTGTTGGCACTGCTGCTCGTGATTGCGTAGCGCCCCCATGTAGTCCAAGAACCTTGGGTCGTTGCCGTTGTCGACGCAATGTTTTTTCTAAGTGCTCTATGCATGCGGGCATGGACATGGAGCCCGTTTGTCCGTCTTGGGAAATGGATTGGAGATGCTTCTGGTTGGAAGTACGTCTGCTTAGTGGCAAACGTTTGTGGTGCTAGCTCTGAGGTGGGTATTTCAGATACCCAGCGCTGAGCACGTGCAGCCTTGGGAGGTGGGCAGACAATAGAACTTATGATGTGTGGTGGGAGTGGGTGGATTGAGTATCTGATCGCTGGCGTGTTGCCGGGCTGCTGAGTGGCAGGCGTGTTAGTCACTGGCGGTTGCTGGTCAGGCGTGGGGGTGTCTGTTCGTTGTGCCTGCTGGTGATTGTTGTGCTGGTTGCGGTGCGTCTTCAGTAGTGTCATCACTGCTGTAAGAGTTTGATGGTGTTGAAGGAATGCTGCGGTCGTCGCCTGGTAAGTTGGCTGGATTACATGCTTGCTGCAACAATTGTGCTGCGTCGTGAATGCGCACAGCCCAATCGTGCCTCATAGTGCCATCGTAGTCGCGACCAGAGCACAACCATTCTGAGACCACGAGCATGGCCTGCTCGGCAACGTCGTTCATTATTGTAGTTGGCGCTTGCATCAGGGAAGCGAGGTGCTTGTTGGTGATGTTGACTGCTACTCTGAAATCCTCGTTGAGGCTAGTAGTCTGCACAGTCGCGCATGTAGTTTCCTAGCGTAGGTCGTGGTTGGTTGAGTGAACGTGGTCGCCAAGATGGTAGATGTGAGTCTGCCGGCGTTGCGTCGCTGAGCTTAAAGTACTTGGTCTGCTCGGTACGTGGCATATTAAATGCAGGAAGTGGAGTCGCGTGGTGATCGGGCATCAGCGGTGGGCGAGGTAAGGTTTGTCGAAGGTTGTTGCTGATGAAGCACTCGTAATCGGATTTGTCTAAGTACCTGTGCCATCCTGGTAGCAGCAGGTGGTCGTCTGGAAAGCAATAGGTGTACGTATGTGTGGTCGGCTGCGTTTAGAAAAAAAGTGCCAGCTGTCTTCGTCGTCGTCGTCGTCACTTCTGTCTCTGGCGCTGTGTGCTGTTAGTCTCATCGGCCCCTCCTCCTCCTCCTCCTCATCCATCCCTCCATCCCTCCATCCCTCATCCCTCCTCCTCCTCCTCCTCCTCCTCCTCCTCCTCCATCCCTCCTCCTCGGCCCCTTCTCCTCCTCCTCTCCTCCTCCTTTCCTCCTTCTCCTCTCCTCCTCCTCTCCTGCTCCTCATTTCCCTCCCGCCCCATCCTCTCCCCCCTCCTCGCCCTCCCTCTTCCTCCTTTCTCCTTTCTCCTCCTTGCTCCTTGCTCCTTCCCCTCCCCCTCCTCCTCCTCCTCCTCCTCCTCCTCCTCCTCCTCCTCCTCCTCTTCCTCCTTTTCCTCGGCCCCACAAGCACTTGGTCCCGTTCAGCATCACGAGCACGTTGCGGAACCTCGGCGCAGCGCGGAGGCCCGCCGAGATAGGGCGCGCGGGCACTCGCGCCCCTCTGCCCCTTCTGCAGCTGGGGACGCACCTGGGTCAATGCACACCAGGGCTCCCCCTCCTCCTCCTCCTCCTCCTCCTCTCCTCCTCCTCCTCCTCCTCCTCCTCCTCCTCCTCCTCCCCTCCCTTCCCTCCCCCCTCCCTCCCTCCCTCCCTCCCTCCTCCCTCCCTCCCTCCCTCCCTCCCCCCTCCACTCCCTCCTTCCCTCCGACAACGACACCAAGGACTTTCTTTTCCTCCTCCTCCCCCTCTCCTCCTAACTTTTTACACGTCTCGCAGTGCATGACTCCGGACACCTCAGATCCCAGAGGCCGTGGCCTCACCCACCTGGTCTGCTCTGGGCCCGGACGCTGTCCGCCACGGTGGTCGCATCGCATCGCATCCTCCTCCTCCCCCCTCCCTCCCTCCCTCCTCCTCCCTCCTTCTCCTCCTCCTCCTCCTCCTCCCCTCCTCCTCCTCCTCCTCGCCTCCCTCCCTCCCCCTCCCCCCTCCCCTCCCTCCCTCCCTCCCTCCCTCCCTCCCTCCCTCCCTCCGGGCGGGGGAGGGAAAACCAGGGGGGCTGCCGAGCGCCGCGCGTGTCCCCAGCGAGCGGCTGCGCCGCCCCGCTGGGACGCTGGCTGGAGGCGTAGTCCAGCTCCAGCGCGCCGCTCGAGGGAAGGTTCCAGTGCGACGGGGTCTGCGGGGAGGGGGCGCGGGGGGGAGGAGGAGGAGGAGGAGGAGGAGGAGGAGGAGGAGGAGGAGGAGGAGGAGGAGGAGGAGGAGGAGGAGGAGGAGGAGGCAAAGTATGAGGAGGAGGAGGAGGAGGGGGAGGAAGGGGAGAAGGAGGAGGAAAAGGAGGAGAAGGAGGAGGAGGAGGAGGACATGGACGAGGAAGACGAGGAGGACGAGGAGGAGTAGGAGGATCGGATCGGATCGGATCGGATGTCCGCGAAAGAGCTGCGATCAGCTGCTGCCGGGGGCGTGTCGCGGCCAATCGTGCCACAACAGGCCAGAAGCCCGCTCGATGCGGGCCACATGCAAGGAGGAGGAGGAGGACAAGGAGGACCAGCGCAAACCCAGGACTCGTCAACAATGTTACTGTAAACCCTCCCTCCTGACTCCCTCTCCATAAGCTCCTATGAGACATTTATTCCACTGCGAGAGGGGCCCCGTTGAAAGACAACCGTCTGGAAATCTTCAGCCGCGGCACAGCACCATTCCTGGGACTTCAACGCCGAGGGTAAACGTTACCATTGCGAATGGACGATTCCATAGCGTACCAGAACACTCTGGAACGCTAACACCGCGAACCAACGTGATTGTCGCATCCTGACAATCTTCAATCGTGCCCGAACGCAATTTCTGCTACGCCAGCCATAAAACAACCTTGAAGCAAATGTAAGCTGTTAGCACGAATGTGCGAGGCACTAAAGTGCGAACCACACGTTGAAACAACTAACGCCCTCCATTCGTGAAGTTCTTGCAAACTTTGAAAACGAATGTACGCGGCGTGAAGGCGAGAACCACACACTTTTTTTCTCTCTCTCTCTCTCTCTCTCCCTCTCTCTCATTATCTCTCTCTCTGTCTCCCTCTCTCTTTTGACAAAAACGTCCCCCTCCATCCATGGCTCTTGCAAACTTTTAAAGCGAATGTGCGCTGCACTAAGACGAGAACCACATTTCGAAAACAACCCGCCATCAATCCGTGAAACTGTTTCCAAACTTTGCAAATCCCACCAGCCCTTGTGTGCGGCACACCTTACGCACTCGGAGCACGTGGCGCATCTGGCGCACAAGGCGTGCCTGGCACGCTCGGGCCCCAGGGGTGCCTGGCGCGAGTGGCTCCCCTGGCACGCGTGGCGCACCTCGCCCAAGCGTCGCGCACCTGGCGTCGGCTTTGGTTCCCAGTAGGTGTCAATCCAAAGATGACCGCTGAACATGCTCAGGCTCGGGTGTTACCAATGTGTTGGGAGGGCGCATGGGAGTGAGCTAGACGGCTTGCGGGCGGGTGGATAGCTTGACCCCTCTCCCTGCCCCCTCCCCTGGACCTGGACGGAAGGGGCCGCGACGCGTTGGAGCGTCCAAAACGGCCTCGACGAGGAAGCCCAAATCATCGGTTTCACTAAGGTTTTGGCCCCATTTTGGCCTCTTGGGGGGGGAACGCTAATTAAACCTCCTCTCCTGTTTGATCGATTTCCTCGAAGATGGCTCCAAGAGCGCTCCCAAGGCTCCCAAGAGCGCTTCAAGAGGGCCCCAAGAGGCGCCCAGGAGGCCCCAGGAGGCCCCAAGTGGCGCCCAAGAAGCCTCCACGAGGCTCCCAAGAGACCCCCAAGAGGCCCCAAGAAGCTCCCCGAGGCACCCAAAACCCTCCAAAAGGCCTCCGGGTCCGCCAAGAGGCCCCTAAGACGTTCCAAGAAGCTCCTGTGCGCGCTGCCCACTTCCCTGATCGAGGCAACTCCTCTGGGCATCGTTTCTGGATGGGCTGGTCAGGTTACGCGAAGTGTCTGGAATGTCGGACGAGGATGAATCGAGAGTCTTTGGGATCCGGCGGTCGTTCCAGAGCGCTCTGCTACGGATTCATCCTCCTCCTGGCCACGCCCGAAAACCCTCGATAATCCACGCGCTCGGAGACTTTTTTTTGGAATCGGCGATAACCCGGGTTATCCCAGGGGGGAGGAGGGGTCCAGCCGATGACCAAACCCTCGCGCTGTGGGCAGCCCTGCATCTGCCCGCGCCTCCCCACCCCGGACCTGCACAACCGGCAAGGTTAAATTATCCTTGGGGGGGGGCGAGCCCGATAACCCGGGCTATCGCCGGACCCTAAAAAAACAGTCTCCTGATTTCGGGAGCGGCACAGAGGGGGGTGTCCAAGAGGGGGGGGTGCAAATCATGACCGGCGGCATGTGCGCGGCCCAGCGGGGGGGCCAGGGACGTAATGAAACAAGAAGAGGCGCCACGAAATCTGAGGAAACATCATGGCCCACGCCATGATATCCACCCCCCCTAGTCATCACCCCCCTCTTTTCCCCCCCCGAGATTCCACTCCCTCGAGGAAGCCCGGGCCTCCGCGGGCACCGGCAGGCTCAGGTGCCGCTCGTTGCGCCAGT